AGCTACCCTTGTAACAAATAAGAATGCTATAAAGCGATAGGGTGTAAAAGAATACAGAAAAATTCATCACTTCTCTATATTCCTAAGTTTGAAATCACTGGAACTACCATTTTGGAAGAAATATAATTCACATTGGCAATAAAGTATGTTTACCTGGTGTGTTATTTTTATGAAACATTGATTTTTTTCTGTTTATATAAATATCAATTGTAGAAACATGGAAAAACAAAAAGAAGTGGGATGCAAAAATCATAAATCCTATTCCTACTAGCGTTTCCTCTTAATTTCTCTTTCCTCCCCCCACTTCACTAATTCACCCCAAACCTGTATCTATGTATAACAATGTGGATTAAAATTTTTTTAGATCTTTTTGTCAATAATTTAGAAGGGGCTGAGGCATTACCCTACTTACAAGCTAACAATTTTTTCTGCCACAGTTGAATAGATGCCGGCTGAAGATGTAAGACTTCTGGCTCAGAGGGAAAAAACCCTGTTGGTCTTAGTAATAGCATAGCTGAGTACACAGCTCTCACAGGGCAACACAAACGGGCCCAGCAATGTCTGCACCTTGCACTGCAGACAACAACTACAAGCTTAGGGAACCTCCATCTTTTATTATGGCACTTTACCTGCCTGGACTTTTCTGCAGAGAGGGACGTGCTCTATATTATACTGAACAGTAAACAAGCTTTTCCTTTGCTCCAGAAGGAGACACTGCTTCTATACTGCAAGGCTGTTTTCTATACAGATATTCTAGAAAAGACATTCGAACAAGGCAGCCGGTGCTCACAATTTGTGCAGAAATGAGATCCCCCCCCGAAAAAAACCCAAATCCAGTTTTTTAAAATCCAATTTTTAAACCAGTTCTTTTTCTCTACATAATTTTACACCTTTAATATGCTATCATATTCTAAGATTGTATTTTTTTAAAAGATTTTATTTATTTATTTGACAGACAGAGATCACAAGTAGGCAGAGAGACAGGCAGAGAGAGAGGAGGAAGCAGGTTCCATGCTGAGCATAGAGCCCGATGCGGGGCTCGATCCCAGGACTCTGGGATCATGACCTGAGACAAAGGCAGAGGCTTAAACCACTGAGCCACCCAAGTGCCCCTCTAAAATAGTATTAAGAATGATTCCAATTTCTCAATCGAGAAGGGTAATATGAATTTAACTTTATTTATACTACTTGAACTAGAAATTATTGAAATAACTAAGAGTTATTACCTTTATATTATTATGAAAAAAATAATAACCGTAATACTGTGAAGTGACATATAAAAATAATGCCAGTCATCACTCCTAGTTGCAGTAGTGGGTGTAGTATTTATTGTCTGCTATAAAACTGATGGACTGTGAAGAAAGAGATTAGAAGGAATGAATTAAAGGATGCATTTTCAAATGTAGGCAGGGGAAAGTGGAATTGGTTTCTGAGAAAAAAGATCTCAACGGAAGTGCCCATGAAGTATCATCCCATAACGGCAAGAACTTCCTGGACATCAGATCAACTAAATCAGGTAGAAGGACTGGTGTTGAGTATACCAGCTGTTCTGAGGATCAAAAGTAGACTCTACACGGAACATCTACATTCAAGGCTACTGAGGAAGTGGTAACGAATCTAGCCCACAGATGTCCCTATACCTGACCCCAAAAAGCCTGAGAATGGGCTTCTTTTTGAAGCATTTTATCAAGATTAAAAATACTCTGCCCACTTCCTCTACATTTTACCAGATTGAGTGTATCTATTTATAACTGTGCGATGAACACACAAACTATGTGTTTGTGCATAAAACGTTGTGATGAATAAATTTATAAGTGGAAAAATGCTGTGCCTCCGTTACTGTCGCTCTTTCTTCCCCCAAATCTCATTTTACAAAATAAGCTGCGGAAGGCTATCGGTTGTCGCTCAGGACTTCACATCTTAAGCACTTGTGAGTGCATTTCCGGGGAACCAGAATGTCTACGACTCTGATTTTGTGGGAGGAGGACTCCTATAGCAGCTCTGTGGGGCCTTGTGGTTTCAAGTGCAAGCCCAGGAGCCAGGCTTCCAGAGTACAGATCGTGGCTCTGCCACATACCAGCTGGTGGTCTGCATCTGACTACTTAAGCTTTCTGCCTCAGTTTCCTCAGCTGAGAAATGGTGGCAGTAATCAAGCTTTCTTCACGGGATTGGCATAAGGATTAAGTCATCACAACGTCTAACACCTAGTGACAGAACACACTTTTGCCTGCATGGGGGCTAACCACTACCTTTACATATGGTAGAGGCAAGAAGCAAAGCATTGGTCATGGGTCGTTGGTGTCAGCGACTTTAGACATTACGGAGAAGTCATGCCGTGTTCACAGTCTGTGACAGGGCAAGATTGTGCTACAAGGTCATTAGAAGCTGGTCGTCTGGCTTGACTCTTAGCCAGATGGTTTCAATTCAGAGACTGCCTGAAACATTTTCTTTTACTAAGACTTTATTATTATTATTAATTTAGAGCCATTTAAGCTTCACAACAAAAGGGAAGGGAAGTTACAGAAATTTCCTTTGTAGGGATGGCTGACAATACTGACTCCATATTAGGCTCTCCATCGTGTCTATGCCTGTGCAATGACCTTCCTTGGGGCGACATGCGCCAGGTCCCTTGGAGGTTACTGTATATCCTGACCCAAATGCAGGAAGGCTTGTTCTCATCTTCCCTAAAGCTGTTGATAACTAGTAGAGATAACACAGTTCTTCCGCTCTCTCCCCGCTGGTACACAGATGGCATCACTGTAGATAACTAGTAACCCCTCCCTCTATAAAATCCAGACTTCTCAGAGAGCAGCTGCCTAGCAAGCACCTGCATGGCCTGACTGCCCGATCCCCTCCCTGTTGGTGAGTCACCCTGAACACAACTGTGTAAATGGTGTGGAGTGGCTTGCTTTGTGTTTTTTGGTCTCAAAGTGCCTTCTTGGTGTGGAAGATGCTTTACGGCCCCTCCTCCACCTTCTAGCACCTCTGCTCACACCCTTGCAAGCCTCTCCTTTACCAACATCCCTCAGCAGAGTGATACATTTGTTACAATGGATGAATCCACATTCATATATCATTATGGTTTACAGAGTTAACATTCTTGGTGGTGTACATTCTGTGGGTTTGGACAAACATATCATGACACGTATCCCTCACTACAATATCATACAAGTATTTTCCCTGCCTTAAAAATCCTCTGGCTCTACTTACTCATCCTTTGCTTCTCTCCGACTTCTTGTCTTTTTTACCTTTCCCATAGTTTTAGTTTTTACAGCTTCCATAGTTTTACTGTTTCCCTAGTTTTGCTTTTGCTTTTTGCCTTTTTTCCCCCCCTTTGGTATGGAATCATACAGTATATAGCACTTTGAGACTGGATTCTTTAACTTAAAAATATGCATTTAAGATTCCTCCATGTCTTTTCATGGCTTGGTAGCTCGTTTCTTTTTAGCACTGAATAATATCCCATTGTCCAGAGATACTATAGTTTACTTCTCCATTCACCTACTGAGGGACATCTTGAATACGTCAAAGTTGTAGCAATTATGAATCAAGCTGTTATAAACACCCATGTGTAGATTTTTGTGTAGACATAAGTTTTCAATTCCTTTGGGTAAATACTAAGGAGCACGATTGCTGGATCATATGGCAAGAGTATGTTTGGTTTTGTTACAGAATTTTTTTTCTCTGTCGGTGCTGAGAGGGTTGCCATCAGGGTTTTTCTTTTTTTTTAAAGACTTTATTTATTTATTTGACAGGGAGAGGGAGACAGCTAGAGAGGGAACACGAGCAGGGAGAGTGGGAGAGGGAGGAGAAGAAGCAGGCCTCCCGTCAAGCAGAAAGCCCAATGTGGGACTTGATCTGAGGATCCGGGGGGGATCATATCCCAAGCCAAAGGCAGATGCCCAACCCCTGAGCCACCCAGATGCCCCACCCATCAGAGTTTCTAAATATAGGGTGTTTCTTGGGCTTGTTGGAGGGCTGTTTTAATCTGGTTAACCCTCCCTGGCGGGTCATCCGATCAGATCAGGTTTTTGTCACTATCTGTCCAAAGGGTAGAGGGCTCCTCCCAGGGTAGTATAAAATCCTTTTAAGGGTGGTTTCCCTGGGGGGTGGAGGGGGTTGTGGTCATGGTCATGTCAAATGTTGTCCAGGTTTTCTGCCTATGTTATTTTCTTAGGTGTTTAATAGCTTTTCACTTTACATTTAGATCTATGATCCCTTTTGAGTTGATTTTTGTAAAGGATAATATGATTGTCTAGATATACTTTTTTTTTTTTTTTTGGCATGTGGCTGTCCAATTGTTCCATCGTTCAACCACTGTTGAAAAGACAATCTTTGCTTCCCTTCATTGTATTGCCTTTGCTGCTTTATCTTAGATCAGTTAACTGTATTTATGTGAATCTGCTTCTGTGTTCTCTATTCCATTCCAGGGATTCTTCTGCCAATACCACACTATCTTGATTGCTGTAGCTTTAGAGTAAGTCTCAAAGTCAGGTAGTGTCATTTTTCCAACTTTGTTAATCTCATTCAGTATTGTGCTAGCTATTTCTTGAAATATTTCTTTGAGAGTATATCTCTGAAGACTTGCTTTTGCATCTTTAAAATATTTTACAAACACTAAGGTGTTCCTCATGCATCGCCTTAAAAGGAGTGGGGTTACTATGTCCCTAATCACCTCAATCTCATCAATAAGCCTTACTCAAGTATGATAGGTATACAGAGTACAAAAATGTCAAAGTTTGAATTCTTAGACTCAAAGAATTTATATTGTATTAGGAAAGCTACTTGTATAAACATATGTTGCAATTCCAAGTGATAACTACAGAAATGATGATTACTCCCAGGTGTGGTGTGGAGAAAGGCAAGGATCAGCTTCAGTGGATGAGGTCAGGCAAGGCTTGACTGATAATACAGATGACTAAATTCGTTCTTGAGGAAGGAGCAGAGGCAGCAGTGGCTGGAGAGGCAGTGGTGGTGGTGGTGGTGGCGGCTCTGGAGGCCCCAGTCCAGGTCCTGGCTTTGGCCCCATTCACACCATGGTTATGCTCACTGAGCTGCTGGTGCTCCTGGCCACCCTTCTGGCTACCCTTCTGGTCACAGCCATGGGCTACTTTGCCGGGATCCACAGGCATGAAGAGGAGTGCTTCTTGGAGCAGGTAAATTTGGGCACCACGGTGGGCCTCCTCTTCGAGACGGTGGATGGCGGCTTCCTACTGATATCGATGTGGGGAAGACAGGGCCTGATAATAGAAGAGTTTATAAAGGAGACCGAGAGTCCAGTGGAAAATACACATTTACTGCTGGCATGGATGGAACACTTTGGTTTTGTTTTAGCAACAGGATGTCTACCATGACTCCAAAGACAGTGATGTTCTCCATTGATATCGGGGAGGACCCCGAAGGACAAGACATTGAAATAGAAGCTCACCAGGCCAAGCTGGAAGACATGATTAATGAGCGAGCAGGGATGATGGTGGCTGTCGAGCATGAACAGGCATCCATGGAAGATCAGGAGGGGGTGCGTGGAGAGATCAACGATGACCCAAGCAGCAGAGTGGTCCCTGGGTCCTTCACTGAAGCTCTTATTCTAGTTGCTGTGAGACTGGGACCAATCTACTACCTGAAGAAATTTTTGAAGTCTGGAGGGTTGTTTAAAGAGCCTTTTTTGGATGATCTTAAAATCATAATTCACTGTTTACCAAACATCTTGGTCATGCTAATGTAATCTGTTTCTACTTCTTTTTTCAGAACAGTACTTATGTACAGTTATGGATTCACAGCTCATGTTTCTTTGTGATTTGTAGATACTGGGGAAAACACCTTTTTAGGAAAGTTATGGTGAAAATCTGACACTTGATTGGCATGTTTTTTTAGTTGAGTTCTGCCTCCATTATACAGGCCTGTCAGAACTCAAATACTGTAAATGAAATACAGGCATACAGTCCCGGTTATATCTTCTTTTCCTTTTGTGTTCACAATAAAATAAAATGCAGTCTGTTCAGACTAGTACTTTACTGGTAGTACTTTAACTAAAATGACTGCATTCTTTGGATCCTTGAACCTACCGTTCGAGTCATTAAAGATTCATTCTGTTGGGTCCTTATGAGAAACAGCAGTCTGAATCTTGATAGTTTCTACCCAGCCTATTGGCAGAGCTCTGACTGGAGCGTATGACCAGGCTGGTCATATGGTCACCTTTATACTTGTCTATCTTGTGATTTCCTTTAAAGATAAGCCCTAACCCAACAACATTTCTCCCCCTAAATGTGTATGTTGAACCTTAGGACTCAGTCACCTCCAACCTGAATTAATGACACAAGCAGCTAATAACCATTTGTAGGTTTCTGCCTAACCTTGTAAAAAGTCTCTACTAAAGCCAGTTCTCTGGTGTGCAGTGAATGGTAGCTCTTTTCTTCGTATGCGGGCCCATCCGCTTTCTCCACTCTTGTCATATAGGAAGTGTGCATTCATGTAATTGAAAAAAAAAAAAAACTGGATTTCTGATGCCAAGGATTACAGCCTCCTGAATTTCACTGCCATGAAATACAGCCACTATTTTATTTTTGATCAGTGGCATTTTGGCCACTGTTTCATCAGGGTACTGAACATCACTGTCAGTACTAGGATTTCGTTTTTGTTTTTCTTGGGACTTCCATGTGAATTTTATGTAAAATGGAATGACTTTCTCTTGATCTCTGACAATGAGTTTAAAATTAAAGGAGCCTCTGGTTGTGGCGTATAATCCAGGATTGTATTGTGACTGATGTATTTAGTTACTTGAACATTTGTTCTGGATCTTTGCAAGGGGAAAACTAGAAGTAATATGCTTTATATAATTAATTTAAATTTATTACAGGTTTTCATGTTTAAGATAAACAATTTCTCAACCTGGGGTGCATATACTTGCAACAGTTTAATGTGATTGTATTTTACCTTAGGACAACGGTTACAATGTCATTTTTGGGTGTTTTGGGGTTTTGTTTTGTTTTTGTTTTTCTTTTCTGGTGTGTTTGAAAACACCGCAAAATTTAGTTAAAAGATCTAAACTTAGAATTAGTTGTTATCTAATCTGTCCCAGTTCAGTAAATAAATAATTCTTTTTAAAAACAAACAAGCAAAATTGGTTCTTGATGGATATTTAGGGATTAATACATGCGAAGAGAGAGGTATAGAAGAGAATGCATCCTGGTAGACTTGTAGACTGTGAGTTAGGAAGGAAGAACAGAAGGGACACAGGCAGGCCTGATTCCATGAAGTTTTGTGTATCACAGAAAAGGATTTACTCTAAACAAGAGCTGTTTAAGTTTCTCAGGTAAGAACAGGGCGTAAGCGAGGGGCGCCTGGGTGGCTCAGTGGGTTAAAGCCTCTGCTTTCGGCTCAGGTCATGATCTCAGGGTCCTGGGATTGAGCCCCACATCAGGCTCTCTGCTCAGCAGGGAGCCTGCTTCCCCTTCTCTCTCTGCCTAATCTCTCTCTCTGTCAAATAAATAAAATCTTAAAGAAAAAAAAAAAAAAACAGGGCATGAGCGTACTCGCGTTTTCAAAAAGACCTGTCTCTCCTATGCTTTACTGAAGAGGTCTTCTCCAACCCTGATGCTGCGGTGCTGGGCATATGAGGTAGGATAATAAAAGACATTAGGTAAGCAAGGTGGGCACCTCCAAGAAGTTGGAGAAATTCAGCCCAGCAATGCATTGACATTTTACCACATCAGCCTGGCAGGAGCGAAAGAAAAGTTTATGCGCTGTAAAGATGTGTTCTTCTAATGTGGCATAATTTTTTTCATCCCTTCTAAAGCATGTTGAGACACCCATTATAGCCCTATCAAACTCTGGTGGAAGACCTGAAGGCGGGCTCAAGTGGAGTGAGGAGCAAAACAGGAGAAACAATTAAGGATTAACCATCATCTGGGTCTTGTTTTAAAAGACATAATACACTTTTGGGGCACCTGGGTGGCTCAGTGGGTTGGACCTCTGCCTTCGATTCGGGTCATGATCTCAGGGTCCTGGGATCGAGCCCCACATCAGGCTCTCTGCTCCGCGGGGCGCCTGCTTCCCCCCAACTCCGTCTCTCTTCCTGCCTCTCCACCTCCTTATGATCTCTGTCAAATAAATAAAAATCTTAAAAAAAAAAAAAAGATGTAATAGACTTTCTTTTCAGCAATAGCAGGGACATGAGGGAAATGGCCCAATGAGTTGACCTGTGTGGTAGAGGTAAATCTGGGCAGTTTGTGCTCTTTGAGGGGCTGCTGGTAGACATGTTTGGCAGATCTGTGCCTGCCAAATGTGCATAGTCTACGTGAGTTAGGTCTGTCCTCTCTAGGTCAGAATTGACCTCAGATCTCTGTCATTTATTCTCCAGAATAAGGATATTTTTTATTTGTTCTGTTTTTGTTTGTTGTTGTTGTTGTTTAACAGAGATCATGATAGGGGGTTCAATGTTCTTTTTATTTTCTCTTTTTACCTAGGAAAAATCACTGACTCACAACTATGTCTATGTGCTTACATCCGTGTGTGGGGGAGGAGAATGGGTTAGAAGTCTCCCCAATTTTCTCATCGAGGAAATTCAGGTTTTCATGTGAGCACAATTAAATATATAAATTGAATATGTAAGTTAGGCTGTGAATACAAGTAAAATATCTACTTACATTTATTAATCATACATACCATGTAAGAAATTCAGATTTCTTAGACATTTTTAGAAATTCTCACACTTAGAAATTCTCACATTTCATGAAATAATTTAATCAAGCTCTTCACATACATTTTTTATATCAATGTCTTTTTACCAATTAAATCCCCTTTAGTGTTATCTAACAGGGTTTTTTAGGCCATACTTTTCATGTCTGTCTAAGTTGTCTTGAGTTATAGAACTTTTGAAACCTGTATATAATGCATCACAAGGAATTTCCTATTCCTTGTTTGTTTAATCTCTTGACATGACACAGAATCAAAATGTACTAAAAGGACATACATATATCCAGAGTTCCCTGCCCTGGAGTCAAAGCTTATTACCAATTTCTTCTTTATCTTACTAGAATTAAAATTTTCATTTAAGAAATCATTAAAGAGGGGCGCCTGGGTGGCTCAGTGGGTTAAGCCGCTGCCTTCGGCTCAGGTCATGATCTCGGAGTCCTGGGATCGAGCCCCGCATCGGGCTCTCTGCTCAGCAGGGAACCTGCTTCCTCCTCTCTCTCTGCCTGCCTCTCTGCCTGCTTGTGATCTCTCTGTCAAATAAATAAATAAATCTTTAAAAAAAAAAAAAAAAAAAAAGAAATCATTAAAGATGTGTTTAATTGCAGTTTTGATGTCACACCATTAGGAATAATCATTGTCTTTGAAAATTACCACACCGCAGCCCCCCCTTTTCTTTGGTAGCTTGACTCTGATGGGTCTAAAACTGTCCTAGATTGGGGTAAAGGAGCCAGGACTTTATATACCCACATTGACCCGCCTTTGGATATGATCCGTCTTGGAGAAGGGTCTGTGAATTTGGATGTTTTGAGTCAGCTGTGACATTACTGCAAGGAGTCAGCTGTCCGCACGCCTAGGAGCTAGAATGGTGCTTTAACCCTGAAGAGGGCGTCTGGACGGCAGAGCACAGCCTTGGTAAGGAGAGCGGGGGATGGATGGTAGTTAGGTCCTTAACTGACCATCTGTCCACACAGCTGCTGCTGGCCTGTCCTTTGTCCATTCCCACATGGCTCATTGAGGCCCACAAGACCAGTGTTGCTTCTTTCTTGTATTTGGAGTGCAAAAATCCCCTCATGAGTCTCTTGATGGCCCCTTCTGCCTAAACATCATTGTAGTTTTTTGTCTCTCTTTTTTTCCCCTGGATGTTTACATCTCATGAGATATTTCTAGGAAATTACTTCCAGGTCTCCTTTGCTGATCAAGGGACCTTCTGTTTTCCCCTCCTCTCAACCACAGAAAGGGAACGTAGAAATGCGAAGAGTAAGTTTTTTTTTCTTAATCTGGGGAAAATCTGTCTCCTTTCACATTTATCCAGTGTTTCTAATTCATCCAAATACTTTTCTCCACTAGTTCCATGATTAAGTTCTCCCCAAGGCCTGTTTTTAGAGGTTAAAAGTCAGAAAGAATTGTAAGTTACTGTTCCTTTCCATAAATTGCTTTCTTTCCATTCCTCTAAATTAGTGAAACCAATGAAACTTTGCTCTGGGCAAAGACCTGGGCAAGAAGACCTAGAAAAATACTGACAGAAAAACAAAAACAACACAACAACCCAAAATCAACATCATAAAAACACCACACATCACTATTATACTACAGAGTGGTGATGAAATGAAAAGGAAACAGTGTCAAGAGATAAGAAGGAGAGGAAATCTACAGACTATTATGAACCCTCATCACACTGCATTCAAATTGTTTATGGTGTGGTTTCCCCATTACAACTCAGTTCCTTAAAAGTAGGGATTAAGGGGTGCCTGGGTGGCTCAGTGGGTTGAGCCTCTGCCTTCAGCTCGGGTCATGATCCCAGAGTCCTGGGATCAAGCCCCGTGTTGAGCTCTCTGCTGGGCAGGGAGCCTGCTTCTCCCCTCTCTCTGCCTGACTCTCTGCCTCTCTCCCTTGTGATCTCTGTCTGTTAAATAAATAAATTTTTTAAAAAGTAGGGATTAAGTATTTTCAATAACATATCTCCAATTTCTAGGGGGTGCTTAGCATATAATACAATCCTGTGTGTCTTATTCAATTTTCAAGTGTTTCCAA